TGAGGATTAAGTGGTGTATAGATAATGGATGGATGGATGTGTCATATTTTTCTCATTTTACTTGTTTGTCCTTGCAAAATATCACAAGCTGTTAATGACTGATTCAGTTCCAAAGGTCTGGTTGCACTTGACCTGTGTGAGTGGCCGGATTCAAATTCAGAAAGCATGAGTAGGGCCCACAGTAAATGTTTACTAAAAATGTGCATAATGTAATAATTTTTTACTTTTTGTATTTAAAGTATATTCGTGCATGTCGTTGATGCAATTTTCTAGGTGCAGAACATCACCCTGCAACTGCTTTTTCTGTCTACCATTGCTTAATGTTGATCACTCTTCAATGTCTATATAATTTGGCTCCATTCTATATCTCAGAGCTATTAACCCCTTATTCTACATCTGAACCTCTTAGAGCAGAGAATCTGTTGCTGTAATCTGCTGTAACAATGCCATGGTCCAGGCTCAAAACAAAGAGGGACCATGGTTTTATAGTTCACATTGTGGAATAAGCTTCCCCTCACAATCAAAACAACAGAGTCTCAGTTTAAAATGTAAAAAACCCATGTAAAGATGTGTCTGACACATTATAATGTCCTTTGTAATGTTTTATTGGTGCTTTTTTAGTAAAACACCTTACAACTCCAATTTTGGAAGGCCATTCCCCAATATATTTCTGCACAATAACTTCAGTATATTTAATGAAGCCATGGAAAGTTTTACTTTCACAATATGGACATGTTTAAGAGTTACAGGTCCCTGAAGTACATAGAGGTAGGTCGAAATGTCTTACTTTTTTAATTCTTATTATCTTTTCCTACATTTTGATCCCTTAACCACCCAACCCACCTCATGATTTCACTCTTGAAAGTTTCCCCAAAATACACTTTTAAAGTTTTCTCCAGTGAATTATCAGAAAACAGTAAACAGAAGCACACCAATGATTGTTTCTATGACTCTGTCTTAGAGATTGAACTGCTGCAGTTTTGCTATTGAAACTATGATATATCCTGTGTTAATGGTGTTTAAAGTTGGTTACAAAAAAGAAAAAGCTAAAACAGACAAAACTCAACAAAAAACTAAACAGAACAGATTTTTGACAGATCTTTGGATTGTGACCCCTGAGTGGATGTAGAAAATGATTTGGTTTCAGCTTTTAACAGCTCTCAAATGTGTGTTTCAGTCCTGAAAGTTTTATGTCTATCCCCTGTATGAATAAAAAAAGAAACAAAACGCACAACATTTAAACCCACCTCTTCAAGGGCCTGTAACTCTGAAAATATTCCAAGTATGAAGGTAAAATGTTGCAGGGCTTCATGAAAGTTGCTGTACATATAAAACCAGCTGATTCTGAGGAGGTCAGATGGAGGCTCTGGTAGATTTTTGACCCATTTTATAGTGTCTTTTGTGGTGCGTTATCGTTGTTGTTTCTTTGGTAAAGCCCCTCTTAACGCCACTATTGCTCAGACATAAAGTTTACTATTAGTATTGTTATGAACTCGACTCACTGGTCTCCGATGTAGAGCCTTGGCCACACTTCGTCCGCATGGTTGCAGGCCGTCTTGCCGGTGCACAGCAGCCGCTCCAGCTCCGACACGCTCAGGTTCGGTGAGGCGCGTTCCGAGTCTTTTCGGTTCGGAGACCTGGAGCTGCTCCGGGACCGAGAGAACCGGGACATGAACGCCATTTAGTCTGGGGAAAACAGACAAGAAAACGACTTCCATAAAACACTGGAGCACACAAGATTAGAATGAAGTACGATATAAACTGATTAGTGTGTTGTAATTAGAAGCCTCTAGAATTTAAATATGATATTGTTTTCACGAGAAATATTAACCTGTGGCTTTATCCGTCTCTCTGGCAGTATTTGGCCCAGAATCTCCTCATGTACAGCAGATATATTTCATTTACCTGTGTTGGGTTTTATTCGGAGCCTCAGTATTTGTGCAGGGCGAGCTGCTCTGCGGCCATGTTGCCTCATGTATCGGCTGTGGAGGATGGAAGGATGATGAGCCAGATGCTGCTGATGCTGCTGCTGCTGCTGCTGCTGCCGCTGCTCAGCATCCAGCCGACATGTTCACCTGCTGCAGCCCCATCTCCATCCTCTCAACAAGTCCTTCTCTTTGCTCTGCTCCCGGTTCAAAGACGCATGCAGGATGATGCTGTCCTCTCCTGGACCCCAAACGGCTTATCTGCTTCTCCTGAGAGGGGTGTTCCAGTCTGTTCTGCTCAACTGATGGAGCTTATTTGTATGTTTATTGTTAATGGATGTCTGTAGTTGGGTTTCTGTGGTGTTTGACTCCATCTGCAGGTCAAATAGCGGAACTGCATTTAAAGAAAAATCAGTCCAAAAGCCCCCAAAAAAACAAAACAAAAAAAAAAACACAACGTCCACACTGCCCCTGAACAAAGAAATTAAAGGCAAACTCTTACTTGTGTTTTCCATCAATTTTTCTGGTCCAGTTCATCTCGGAAAACACATCAGATGAATGGATATAGATAGCCAAGCCTCATTCAGTTCATTCATCCCATCCACCACCTAGACATTTAACAGCAACAATTAAAAGATCATTTACTTTCTTTAGGTTTCAAACACTTTGACTTGAAAATGTATTGGTATGTATTCTATAGTGCTATTGTCTCTGATTATTTTATCTGTCTGTTGGTAATGTCTCTTATTTTACAGAGTCACTGGTTTGACCCTTAATGTTTTGCTTTGTTTTTTTTTTTTTTGTTTTTTTTAAATATTGCATCCACCTACCTACAAGTTCTATAAAAAGTAAAACATAATGAAGTAGAGTTTTAAAAAAAAGAAAGTATTTACTGCCTTTAAGTCCATACTTAGTAAATGCATCATCATGGTTACAGCACTGAGTTTTACCCTCATTCTTCTTTGTAAAAGTGCTCCGGCTCTGTCAGGTTTTACAGGGATTGTAGGTGTACAGCAATTTTCAAATCCAGCCACAAATTCTCAATTGGATTAAGGTCTAAACTTTGACTCGACAATCATCTTGTGGTCTCAAAACCATGCAGCTTTGGCTGTGTGCTTCAGGTTATTGTCTTGCTGGAAAACAAATGCTCTCCCAGGTTGCAGTTCTCTTGCAGACTGATCAGGTTGTCCCACATCATAGTGGTGCCACCACCATGCTTCACAGTGGGGGTGTTTGTTTTTATGTTTGTTTATGATGATGCGCAGCGTTTGGTATCCGCCAAACATAGTGTCTAGTCTGATGGCCAAAAAGCTTAATTCTGGTCCTGTCAGCCCAAAGAACCTTCTTCCAGTTGACTTCAAAGTCTTCCACGTCTTTTGGCATACTGTAGTTCAGATTTAGTATGAACTTTTTTCAACAGTGGCTTCTCTTTGCCACTTTCTCATAAAGCTTTGACTGGTGAAGAACAAACAACAGTTGTATACACAGTCTGTCCCATCTCAGCTGGTAAAGCTTGTAACTCCTTCAGAGGACTCATAGTTGTCTTGGTGACCTTCCTAACTCGTCTTGTGCTTGCGCAGTCAGAGTTTTTGAGGACTGGCTTCAGCACCTTGGAAATTCTCTTTTATCCATCCCCTGACCTATGCTTTTCAATAACTGTGTAACTGAGTTGCTTGAAGTCTTCTTTTGTCTTCATGATGTATTCATAACCGGGAGTACTGACTCACCATTGAGTGGACCTTCCACATACAGGAGTCTTCATACTACAGTGACTTGAGACACATTTTCTGCACTCAGATGATCTCCATCTCACTAACTGTGTGACTTCTTGCACCACTTGGCTGTACCTGTGTTGAATTAGGCGAGTCTATTTAAAGAGGTAGATTTTTTTAATGCATTTCCTGTTTTGTTTTGTTTTGTTTTGTTTTGTTTTGTTTTGTTTTTTGGGGGGGGGGGTTAAACAACAAATCTGTTTTCACTTTGACACGAAAGAGCCTCTTCCTGTAAATACTTGTCCAGTGTTGATAAAGGGTGAAAACGTTTAAAGCCACTCTAGCTATCTCTGCAGATTATTTATTTATTTCAGAGACACGTGAAGGCACCGTGACGTCAAAAGTATGCGACGCACATGTGAGCGCTGTGAAGAGGAAACATGGCCGCGGAGAGGCTGCAGTTTCATGAAATGGGCTTGGACGACCGTCTTTTAAAGGTAGCTTACTGTTTCACGGCGTCGTTACTATTAAATAAATTGTCGGGGGAATTTTGAAGCCTCAGCTAAAGTATGACAACGTAAGAGAAGTTTGGAAAATAAACACAGGAGCTAGCTGTTAGCGGTGCTAACTTGTCTCGTGGTATGGTGTGTACGCTTGTGTTAGATTGCTTTGTCAAATATAGTACATTCGGGGGATTTCAGTTTTCACAACTTTACTTTTGAACCGCATCAAGGAAGCGACAGACAGTTTTACACTGACATAGCACTTCTATAAGTCAAATTACAAAGAAGAATCAGCTTTACTGGCCACATATGTGAACACATACGAGGAGTTTGAGTCTGGTGTTAATTTACTTTCAACATATTTACACCAAATCAGACACATGCATTTAAACAAGATGGCAACAGGTTAAAGAAAGAAAGTGTGGCTTTCACTCCTATATGTGACAGAGCATGTTTAAAGTTTAGCGCAAAAAGTTAAGTGAACCAACGCTTAGTGTAAAATACAGTTAGGAATAAATACAGGTTTACTGACACCTTATTTAGATGAGATAGGTAGCTGATCAGAGGAACAGAAATCTTGTTGTATCAACTATATACACTGTTTCACTTCGCTCATTCGATGGAGAATCAGGAGTGGAAAGTACTGTACTTAAGTACAATTTTGAGTTTCTTCTACTTTACTTGAGTATTTCCATTTTCTGTTGCTTTATACGCCACTACAATTCAGAGGCAAATTATTATTTTTTTTGTTGTTGTTTTTTTTAACTTCACTACATTTGTTTAATAAGTTTAGCTAATTTACAGATATGGTCTAATAATCAATACATTTTAATGTAATTTTGATACCTGTTTGATAATTCACAAGCTGCATACATAAAGTAATTGAGTCATTTTTGCTGGATCCAAAATTAATGTGATGAACACATTCATGCTTCAATAATTCTAATCCATTAACACACATTGTTCGTAAATGGGCCATTTTGCAAATTGAGTACTTTTACTTTTGGTAGTTTAAATATGTTTTGATGCTTATGAATGCTTTTGCGCTTTTACTTTGATTTAATTGCAGAACTTTTTACTTGTAACAGAATCTTTCTACACTGGGGTATTGGTACTTGTACTTAACTTCCACCACTGTTGGGTAATCATTAGTGGTTTGTTAATGAAGCTGTAGAGACTCTGAACTTCACAAGACTTGATTAGAACAACAAAACTTGTTTCAGTGAATCACTGTGTTGCATTAACAAGCTACAGCTCTTGCTGATTCTGAATGATTTTTCCGACTGATACTGTGATTTGATTTGCGATATAAATTTTGACCGCAAAGCTTCACTGTGTAATAAATTCAAAACATATGATGGACCATTAACAAATGAGACACCATCAACTGACTGTCATATAAGGAGCATGTCATGAATTTGTTAGACTACTGATGAAACTTTTTAAACTCTGGGTCAGAGACGCTGCTTCACATTTATCCTAAACTGCAGCCATTGCAATTTGCTAATTGCAGTTTTTCAAATTCTGTAATCATTCAGCCCGAGCTGTTAAACTACCACTAACAGCTGTCACTGATCGCTGTTGAACATATTCATGTTCAGCAGAGGTTTATTTAAGATCTGCCTGTGTATTTGGAGCAAATGTTTGACCCCTTTTCTTCTTCAGTCACATTCTGCTCTGTGTCATCACTTCCTATTTTTATCTTCCCGCAGGCGGTTGCAGATCTGGGTTGGTTCCAGCCCACTCTGATTCAAGAGAAAGCCATCCCTCTAGCTCTGGAGGGGAAGGATGTTTTGGCTCGAGCCCGGACTGGATCTGGGAAGACTGCAGCGTATGCTGTCCCCGTTATACAGCGCATCCTGATCTCCAAACAGGTCAGACAGACACAGAAGTGACTCTTTATGTTCATGGATTTCAGTAGGGTTGATGTGTATCTATCTTGACATGGCTGCAGGATGAAATGACACTTGACAAATGATTTGCTGATGATTTTCTCTGTTTTGTCAATGAAATGTCAGAAAACCTTTATGTTTTGTCTAAACAACAGTCCAAAACCTCAAAACACTCAGTTTACCATGATCTAAAGAATCACCGCTCTGTTTTTTTAATCACTGCTTTTTGTCCTCCTGACCAGTTGTGTTTATTATCTTCAGAGCGTTCGTGAGCAGGACGTCAGAGCTCTGATCCTGGTACCGACCAAAGAGTTGGGTCAGCAGGTCCAGACCATGATTAGACAGTTGACGTCTTTCTGCTCGAGGGACGTCCGAGTCGCTGACATCTCTGGCAAAGCTGATCTGTCAACGCAGAGGTCAGTCTGTTTCTTTGCCTCAGTAATTGTAGATTAATGATACTGTGCAAAGGTTTCAGACACTAGAAGTATGAAATTTGATAAATAGTTTTTTGTTATAGGTCAGCCTCATGGTATGTGCAGTAGATGGAAAAAAACCTAAATCACATCAGTACGGGATACAATGAAAAAGCTTGGAGACTGTGCAGAGAAAAATCAAAATAGAACAGAACAGGACTTGGAAGTAAATTGTGTCAAAATAAAAACCATTCTGTTTATGTTGAACTTGCTTGTCAATGGTTCTTTCCTTAACATGTTACTAAATACATCACAAAGATTAAAAACTACAATAATACAAGAATGAAAAGACAAAACAGCAGGAAAAGAAAAGAAGAATGAATGAAAATTCATACATATGTGAAAGGTTTTCAAGCAAAGAATGTTTAAAGATGAGACTTGATGTCGATAACAGGGATACAGTGGGCAGGTATAATCCCAGGTAAGTCATTCCAGAGTTTGGGGACCCAGAGTGCTAAAAGATATGATGGCTCTTCATCACCAGTCAGGCTCTTACAGGGTTAGTAGCTCCTTACTATCAGTAGAGCATGGTCATGTAAGGCCTTCAAGGTCACCAGTAAAATTTTTTGTAAAAAAGTGCCAGTAAGTGAGACCAGTACTGGTTTGATATAGTTGTTTTGTTTTGTTTTTTCAACCACTGATAGTCCTTGCAGCAGTGTTTCTAAGAAAATTGTAGGTGATTGTTCTTCTCATAGTTGAAGATGGTTCTTTGTGACTCTGGCTGGATGATTGACCTGCTGCAGAATAAACTTATGAATCTCATGGTGTTGATGAGACTCTAAACACCTAAAGTGTCATTAATATTGTAATGTATTGGTTTGTGTGTGTTTGGACAGGCCCATCCTAATGGAGAAGCCTGATGTGGTCGTCGGGACGCCGTCCCGTGTGCTCGCCCACCTCAACGCCCAGAACCTGGTCCTGCATTCCTCGCTGGAGATGCTGGTGGTGGACGAGGCCGACCTGCTCTTCTCTTTTGGCTTTGAGGCTGACCTGAAGAACCTTTTGTGGTGAGAACATACAGATTTTAACCATTCACTTCCTCCATGCAGCTGTTAGTTTTAAACATGGTGGGTTGTAAAGAATTTCACCTGGACGATTATTTTCACATTTAGTGAAGGGTTCAAGATTAAAATGTACTTTAGTGTCAAATAGTGCTGCACAGAACCTTCATCATCAGACACATATAGAATCATGCTTACAGCAATTAATGCAAAAAAAAAAAAAAGAAGTCAACAGTCAACAAATAAATTAATAAACAGGCAACGTAAAATAACAATTTGAAAGAATTAGAAACAAGAACAGTAAAACCAGAACAAACAAGAATAAATAGTATTGATTGTGCTGCTGTTTGTCTATTTTTGTTCTAACAAACGTGTCATGACATTCAGTTTCAGGCATTTAGTTTCTGCTGTTTTAAATTCCGTAGAAACTTGAACAATGTTTTTCATACTTTGACTTACTTTCCCCACCATCGTCATCAAAGTCAGTCCAAAACTGTTGTGCATACCTTTAGTTAGGCTTAGGTTCGTTAGTGTGGCTTTAATGTTAAATTAATTAGTGTTTCAATCATGTGTTCTGAGGAAAATGTTTGCCATGTTTTAACAGCCATTTACCAAAGATCTACCAGTCTTTCCTGATGTCGGCTACTCTCTCCGAGGATGTCCAGGCTTTGAAGGAGCTGCTGCTGCACAACCCTGTAATGTCATTCACACTTGCAGTCCCAGAAAGGTTTTCTCTCTGTTATGTTCATATAAGCTTTAGTTAAAGGTGCCATTAGCCATGTTGTTTGGTCCTGTCCACAGTTAACAAACTTTTGGGGAGACATGCATGTAAAAATGGAGTACATAATTAACCTTTTTTTTTTTACTTCAGTTATTTACTTTGGAGATTAGTTGCTATGAAGAATACTAAGAGTAAGTCGTTGGAAAGTAGTAGTGGCAAAAAACATGCCCTATCTGTTGAAATGTGTAGAAATAATTGAAATTGGGATGAAAAGGAATGAAATAGTTAAAATATTTAGTTTATTCATT